AGGACTCTAGGGTGAAGATCATCCGGGCCAGCTGACTTAAAAATGTCCAGCCCCTCCAGAAGCTCCCTAACTAAATCCTCACTCACCCGAGGCCCAGGTGAGCCTCCCCCGGGGCCCGAAGGGGGCCCAGCAGGGAGGTGGCAGTTCTGGTCCTTACTGAGGAAGACAGAGGCAAAGAAGTTATTAAATCTACAGCTATCCTTTTTTTTAACTGGTGCTCTAGCTCCAGGTAAAGTTTTCCAAGGCTCTTACTACTTTAATGCAGGTTGAAAACAAGGAGGAAGTGTTTTCCAGAGTCCACCTTCCTGCTATAGTTCGGGTGTTTGTCAGGTGTCAAGCAGCATAGCTTGTTTTTCAGGAGTGCTGAGCCCTTGCAGGACCCTGCTGACTTCAGCGAGACTGACATTATGCTTGCCTTTCTGAAAGATCAAGCTCATTGAACCTAAGCACTAGCTATGGAGGGATGCAACTTCTATAGGTCTTGACAGTTGAAGGAATAAAACCATCAAGCTTCTGTGCTGCACACCACTGAAATGCAGGGAGTGCTCTCCACCCCCCCCCCCGGTCGAACTTCAGCTGCAGGCATCAGAAATGCTCTTCTCTGTTTGTGGACATTTCTGGTAACAGGAATAGTGCTGTGCTGGCAGAACAGAGCAGTGTTCATTCCTGAAACAGTAAAGTCACGCTGTTTGCTAAGCAGAACAAAAGATCAACATGAAAGTAATCACTAGGGAAGGGTTTTTTTGTTTTTTTGTTGTTTTTTAAAGAAATGGGGAATAAGACAAAGTTAGGAGGAGTGCATAACCTGGAGTTCTGGAGCCCATGGCTCCCCATGTTGGCCACTGAACAAAGAATGCAAGTACTATTTGACCCTCAAAAAGCCCATTTTCAGAGTTCGTGGACTAGATTTATTCCTTTTCTAGCACCCTGCCCCTTCATATTCCCTATACTGAGCATCAGGAGACATTGAACAACGAGGACTTCCAATATTTCTTGCAACCACGTATGTTCCAGCACTTGAAAAACCTGTGCAATCACTTACACAAGTATTCCCATTGAAGCCAATATGACTACTAGCATAAGCATCAAGAGGGAAGAAAAAAAAATGTTCACACACAGGCCAAAGAACCAAAGCGCACACCCTTCCCATGAGCTAAGAAGTAAGAGTTATTCCACTTAATGGAGGAACTCTTCACAAGCCCTCAAGCCATCAGAAGAGGGTAATCTCAGAACAAGGTGCAAGTAGTGGCATCTAAAGGGCTGGGCGTTGCTCAGGATTAATGCAATACCTATTTTTATAGGTCATGAAAACCCTTCTGGATTAAAGGTGAATCCAAATATTAAATACATAGCTGCTAATTGACTTGCCTAAGGCTAAAGAAAACTTCTGTAGCAGAACTGTAAGTCTGGATTCCTGATCCAGTGATCTAACCCCTAGAACTGCAACCTTTGAATAAAACCACTGGGGTGAGATGACACAAAGAGACAACATGTATTTGTGAGAGTAACACATCACGTAATGGAAATGTTAGCGTGCATAAAGGGACTGCTCCTACTCTACATGAAGTAGAGCTGAATGTGTTCCCAGGCCTTTTAACAAAGAGACATGGCTCACCTGCTTGAATCAGGACATGAGATATCTGTATGCCACACTTCCACGCTGGAGATAAAGTGGGTGAAGGCCACAGCTGGCCACATTCGGATAAATGCAGCAAAATGCGAAGAAACAGTTTTCCATCTCCCTGTCGTGTGTGTGTGCACATGTGTACATACATACAGGCCTGCACATTGTGCACGTAAGACTGCACACATATGCAAGAGGGCAATTTAAATACCCCAATAAGATTCATTCATAAGGTTTCATACAAAATACCTGCAGCTGAATTGAATAGTCCTTTTATTTCAAAAGTAGTTTATTTAAACATTAAACTTCAGGACTATTGACTCACACTTTTTGTTGTCTTAACAGGCTTTAGAAAAGGTACAGATTACAGTTTATGGTACATAAAGACATCATTAAATTGGATGGTCCAACAAATCAACAGTAGTAGTATCTTGTTTTGCAGTATTTACTAACAAAATATGCCCTACTCAGAATTTAATAAAGCAAAAGAACTGTTATACAAAGCTCACTGAAAAGAAACTTTGCAGTTTTTTGTTTTTTTCAATTGGGGATTTTTCCAAAACAACTTTTCTTGTTTCTTCATAAACTAGTTCAGGGCTGCTGTGTGTCCCATGTGGGCTCAGTAACTTATTGTCTGCTTTGTCCCGCTTGCTGGAGAGGGATATTGGGGGGAGGGGGCTGGCTTGACCAGATGGGGAGAAAAACACCTACTCCAATTTTCCTCTCTTGCCCCCCAAATAAACAGGACAGTAGAATGGACTGTGCTAGGTCCAACTGCTAGTGTTATGATGACCCACCCTAGGAAGTGCAAACATAAATTTCCATTTTTTGGAAGCTACCAATCCCATTCTTGGATTGTAATTTAATGGAGTATCAGGCCCTTAGGCAAACCAGGGATACATTGACCACAGAAGTCATGTAAGAGCTCTACCACCAGGTTCACAGCACCCAGTGGTACTTTGTTTATGTATCCCCATGCAATTTACTGGAACATTAAAGATGGCATAAGGCACTCCACAGATTGATATAACCAACCTGCAACCGCCGGGAGCTCCACCTTGCAAACTCTTGCTTCTGCAGGTCGTCTTACTAGACGCGAAGGGACCACTCACACAAACTAAGTGCTTGCAGGGCTGCCCGCTAGCCTCGTATTTTAAACAAACAGTGCAATTCAACAAATCCAAAGCACCTCACTTGAATAAGAGAAGTAGCTATGATCACAGTGCAACATTTCAAAGGCAAATTGAGGGCCAAAGTCCAGAATTCCCTATACGTTCCACATTCCTGCTGAAGGCCACAAGAGTTACCGGTGCACAAGGAACGCAGGAATAGGCCCAGACATCGTCCAAGACAAGATCAAGAGTTACCTGGGGTAACTGATCTCAGTGCATTATCCTATCAGGAAGACAAATTGGGATGCAAACGAACGCTGGAAGTTCAGCAAAACACAGTATGTTTGTAGGCCTGGACTGAAAACTCATTCTTCTCTATCTGGTGAGGAACAAAGAGGTTGAGGAGTTTTAGTCTGCGAAAGTTATGAAATCTCTGGGAGAGGGGAGGGGCGTGGAAATCTTTTCCCCTAGGAAAGAAATTAACTATATACAGTCAGCAAAAACAGGAAGCATGTATAGTCAGTGCTTACGATTCTTGGCTTTGAAAATAGCTTCTCAGCTATGACACCGTTTACTCATGACTTGCCGAAGTAAAGTTCTCGCCCCTGCTACATTTACACTTACTCTGCAAGATACACTCGCTGGTTGTGTTGTGTGTGTTGACAGGCAGAAACCGCTGCAGCACAACAGATTGATGCTTTGGCTCAATATTTTTGGAGCCAAACAAGCTACAAAAAAGCATGTTTAAACATTTGTCTTAAAGTGAGCTGGAATAAAAATAAAATCTTACCAACAGGTATAAAAGAGAGTTTCACTTGGAACCGCTGACACACCGTATAACTGGTTGTGCCCGCCGTCAATGGAGTGTTGTTCTTTGAGCAGGAAGGATAAATCTGGAGTCTTGTTCGAAAACATTGAAGTCGGATGCTTGCATTCTGCTTCTGCCAGCCATGCAGGAACTTGACTAGACTGTCAAGAGTGATTTTAAAACCTGAAGGAGTTTTAAAGCTTAATCAGCACAGGCGTTTTCTCAGCTAAAGAGCTCAGACCCTGCATCTTTTTTCAGTTGCATGAGTGGAAGAAGGGAACATGGCTGTACTTCACCAATGCTAGGGTAGAAGGGTGCAGGACCAAGGACTTCATGCCTTCTCTTGCAGAATTTTCTGCCGGTCGCTTACAACCCACATTTGGCCCCAGTAAGTCCCTAACAGGATGGAGAGGAAATTAAAGTCTGGCCTGACAGCCTAATCTTAGTAAATGTACAGACAATCCAATGCAGAAGGGATGCATAAGAACCAGGCCAGCTGGAAACCATGCCAAATTCCCAGAGACCTGGATCAGATTCACTAGTCGCTTATGGAGATAACAATGGGGAGTGAAACCCTAATAGAGGCTGTCAGCGAGCCGTGCCAATGAGCACGACGAGGTACAGACAACATCTGTACAAGCTAAGGCAGTGCTCTTTGGCAGGGGTGGGCACACTGCACACAATGCTTCTCACACACTTTTCACACACTCCTGAGAGGTCAGAGATGAGGCTGGGAGATGGGGGTGGGGTAGGGGAGGAGAGATCAGAAGGCAATATTTTAGTTAGGGTGGCCAAAATCTGGAACCAACTTCCCAGGGAAGCAGTCCTCGCCCCTACCTTGGGCAAATTCACGAGGAGGTTGGATGATCACGTGTCTGGGGTCTTGTGAACCCAGCACTCATTTCTGCCTGTGGCAGGGGGTCAGCTAGATGGTCTGTTCAGGTCCCTCCTGACCCTAGCTACTAGGAAACTATGAAGACACAAAAGCAACAGCAAAACACCAGCACGCCACAGCCACAGCCTAAAATCCCTGCTACTTTAGAACAACCTGCATGTATAGATGGCAATTTTGTGGATTTCCAGCCGTGTAAATCTTGGGGTTTCTTTTTCTGTTTAAAATGTTTTATCTGTCATGACAGCAGAAATTCAATTTAAGGCTACAGCAGATGCTGATTTTTTCCCCACTATCAATATCCTGCAGCCATCTCAAATGAACGCTGGGTCCAGCTCCTGACACTCTCAGACTGACTCGCTTTTTGTCTTTACACCTGACTTAAAAAGAAAACAACAAGAACAAACCCTGATGTCCTTTCCAAACATGGTTTGACGCCAAATCTTCCAGTCTAATTGGCAAAGCTGACTCACAGAAAAGCAGAATATACCCTCAGTTTCTAGATTTTTTGGACTCTGCTCCAGGGGTACGTTATGCTGTTAATGTGAAGTCCGCTGATCCCGTTGAGGAAGAAGAGGAAGGCGGCAATGAACTCGCACCAATAAGTGAGTGTGAAGCCCATGAAGGTGATATGATCTTTCAGGAGGATTAAGAAACTCAGCACTCCAGTGGATGACAGCAGAAAGGAGAGAAGAATGAAGACCGAGCCCATGGACCATTTCCGTCTTGAATTAGCATCTTCACAGACTTGGGAGACCATCAGAAGTTCCAGGCCAAATATTGCAATGACGACAGCGAAAGAGACCACGCTTCTTACAAGAATCATTCCTATGTTCATCCCTTCCACGTTGGCCAGACTGAGATCCGTGACGCACGTCAGCATGCTGGTGTTGCCAATGGTACAGAAGTGCCACAGTCCAAACAGCTTGCCTTTGGCAAAGAGCCAGTGGCCATCACAGATTGAAATTGAGGACAGGACCACGGCGATTGCAACACACAAGATAATTAGGCTTCTGATGAACGTCTCAAAGAATGATTTCTGGGGTCTTCTGTGCGCAAGCAGCCGCTGGGCCTTAAAGAAAGATTTATAAAAGAAAGAAAAAAAAAAAAAGCGATTAAAACCAACGTCTTTGTCGCTGTTCAAAATATATGGGAGTCAAAGGGACCCAAGTGGCCTTTAAGAACAATACAATGAATTCACACAAATGCCTTTTTCTCAAGGTTAGCTCAAAAGATCCTACTGTATACACAGTAAACAGCACTAGAGGGGAATGTAGCAGGGCTCAGGAGGTCTGGGTTTAATTCCCAGCTGTCAGACTTTGTGCAAGTCACCGATTTCCCTGTTCCTCAGTTGCAATAATCCTCTCTCCTGATTGTTGTCCTGTCCCCTTAGGCCAAACTCTGCGATTACTTGTGCCTGTGCTTAGGCTTGTGTGCGAATGGTCCCACTAACTTTGGTGGAACTATTTGCATGTGCAAACACAAACGCATGACTCCGGGAGTAAGACTTAAGGCAGAGACTGTCTTACCCTGCTGCTGTACTATGCCTAGAACAACAGAGCCTTGATTTCAACTGTGCAGCCATAATGCAAACAGCAGCTATTTCGCACTGGAGGATGCATATTCCTTGCTTCCTTATCATTTAAAAAAACTGCAGACAATATTCTGCTCCAATTAAAACCACCACCTTGGAAGAGAGACTACCCATGGAAGAGTATAAACCAAATGATTGACCAGCTACAGAAGAGCAGGAGGGTGCAGAGGAAGCTACAACAATTAAAGATAATGCCAGTCACCGCATGCACCAGATTTAACCAAGAGTTTTCAAAGGAGCCTTCAGGGGAAATTAAATTAATCAGGTGCATTGATGCACTCAGCACTTTATCAGGTGCATTAACACCTTCCTGCTTGCATGGCACCCGGGGCCTGGGTCCCACTTCACACCAGTTTTCCCCCCAGCATAACTCCATCAATTGAACTGACTTTACTCCTACTAGGCAGACAAGGTTCTTTGAGTAAATGAGACATCTTTCATTAGACCAACTCAAATCATTGGAAAGACTCTTCTTAGCAAGCTTTTGGGTTTAAATACCCTTTGTCGGGCTAAGGAAGCATCTGCAGTTGGTGTGCGGTGCACGCGCCACATTCCACATTTACATACACGTTTACTCCTACTACGCTGTGTCGCCAAGGAGAGTTGGGCCACCTGTTTTATGAAACAGTTTTAAATATGCTTCTGCAGAGATCAGAGGGGCAACTACTAAATAATTTGGGGTCACGCTCTGGCCTTCTCTAGAACGGAGAGCAGTGATTCCCAACCCGGGTGACATGGCATCATCCCCTGCTGCGCCAGGGCAGACAGTTGTATGGCGCTGGGGTCAGGGTAGTACTTTACAAGTAATTCGGCTGCAGTCATCGTCATGACCGCTCTTAGTGTAACGTCGTAGTGTTCAACGTGAGCAGGGGAGCACAGTCTGACCCAGGAATTCTCTTTAAAAGAGCAAAAAAAAAAAATGTACAAGCATCAAAACACCCATTTTCTTTCTTTTCTTTCTTTTTGAATACGCACCTAAATTCTGCGTTGTTACTCCAGAACTAGGCAGCAAAATGGGACACTAATTCAGTAACAAACATTAGAGCAAGAGGGGCTCGGGCTATGGACGGTTCCGGGACACAAACAGGAAGTTCATGAAACAAAGCAGCGCTTGGCTTTTATGCCAAAAGGAAAATGGGAAAATGCATTCATCAGCTGGAAACAACAGAGACAGAAATGGCATGTTTGACCTGCCAGGAGGGTTTTAAAAAAAGTACTAAGCCAAAAACAAAAATGTCTTTTTTTTTTTTTAACCCTGAATCCTTTTAATATCTATCTATATAGAACTATCTATATCTATCTATCTATAGATATATATTCACACAAGTATCCTTTTCTCAAGATTAGCTAAATAGATCCTACTACATACACAATAAACAGCTCTAGAGGGGACTGCTGTTGTTCAGGACAATGGTAGCAGGGCTCAGGATATATTTTTTATATCTAAAAAGAGGTATTCCTTTGGATTCTTCCAAATTTGCAGCTGACAGATCCGTAGCACATCTATTAATGAGGAAGCTCTATACTTTTTTTCCAAGCTACTGTCCTACATAGAAAGAGAGTCCTCAGGTATTAAGTTGCATCAAACAGCACATCATTTCCACTTCAGGAATCGTGCCCCAGCACACCTGTAGGACAGCTGTTTCTCAGCACTATGTGGATGCCCACTCAAGGATCAGGGCCCGGCCACCCCGCACACCCAACAAGGCGGCCCCTTGCCCTGCACACTGCCGCCGGGTGACTCAAGAGCTCAACACCCACAACTACCACCTGGTTCCAGTTCCCCGCCAGAGGCATCCCTCACAAAAACATCACCTTACCTATTACTAATCAGTGTGGTAAACACTACAGGCTTGATCCCTCCAGCAACTGCATCTGCTGGAACCTGCCCAGACTAGTTTCAGGTGCCTGAAACAAGGGCAGGATTAAAATCTTTTCCCCTGACAGAGGATTCCCCCAGGGACTAGATCCAGTGTCTGCCAGCTCGCCCTGCCACAACTTACAATCACCAAGTCCTAGAGACATGGACCTGGAAGGGACCCCCAGAGGTCCTGAGCCAGGAGCAGCTCTATCCAAACCCTCTTGCACAAGCCATAATTTAAACTCTACTTAAGACTATTGGGACCCTGACACAGCGCCCAACCTGCCCTGGGGACAGCAGCCAGCATCCTGCTTCTATGAAACGCTGCCAACATGCATCAGGGAGAGAGGGCTGTGCCCCCTGCTACAGAAGAAGGCAACACCCCCATCCACACCAATCTGAGCAAGGGGTCAAATCCCTGCCTGACCCCAAATCTGCCCATGGAGGGGCAAGACCCTCTAGCAAGAAGCCTCCGGCTCTGGTCCCCGCAGGAGCACGGGCACAGCCAGCACCTCCAGTGAAACCCCCTGGCCCATCCAGGGAGACGCTGCTCCGACTTCGATCTGAGCCCGGATTTGCCCTCAAGGCCCCGGAGCTCCTACACACAAACCCCGGCAGCTGCCCCGCGGAGAAGCGGCATCCCCTCTGCCTTCTCCCACCCCCAGAAGCTCGCCAGTAAAGAAGGGTTTGGGGTTTTTTGCAAACATCTCGTACAAAGCCGTGGCTCGAGCCGCCAGCCGGGTGCCGCCAGGCGCGGGCAGGGGGCGAGCGGCGGCGCCCGCAGCC